GCTTTATCTGCTGGATATTATTATACCTTCCATCTTTCTCGTATTTCCTATATTTCTTATATTTTATGTTATTTTATTATGAGTCTATTGATAGTATTAATATATCGTCTCTTGTTGTTTTCTTGAGCCGAGGGTCTCCTGGAAACCGCCTCTCTGCCCCTCAGGGTAGGGGTAAGGTCTGTGTACATATTACCCTCCCCAGACCCCACTTGTGCGATTATACTGGATCGTTGTTGTTGTTGTTGTATATACACACACTATATGTCAATGCTACAATTACAGTTGAATCAATTCATGATTTAGGGGTCATTTGGTTCGTGAACAACTATACGGGGCTATAATGCAGGAATATAAAAAATTTACCTTCATTCGATATTTACACCAAATCAGTGAAAATAAGATAATTATTTTAATGTTTTTATATTCTTTTAATTACATAACTATGACTAAGTGATGTGTATTTTTACTTTAATTTTTAAATGCTAAGGATAAATTATTGGGGTTGATGTAAACAACAAATGCAGACAAGTATTTACCGGGAGGAATAAAATTGTCAAGATTTTTAATATAAAATTACAGCAGTATTACTTATTCCGAAAATAAAAATGCAACCAAATGAAGTATAAAGATATAGTGAATTTACACCGTTGTTGTTGTTGTTGTTGTTGTTATTATTATTATTATTATTATTATTATTATTATTATTATTATTATTATTATTATTATTATTATCCTAGTAACCAAACAAGTACTTCAAGTTAAAAAAGCTTGCACAGACAAAATAATTAAAAAAGAGCACTTTTATCCACTTGGGGCAATACTAAATATAAAAGTGAATGATAGATGTCATAAGGGAGATTATAATATGGATTATATTAGTACGGAAGTGTCGTTTATTGCTTGATTGCATCATTTACTTGCCAATCACTTGATTAGGTTTCATATATATAAATTGATGGTGACCAACTACGTACTTTTTTTATCCCTTCAATTGTGTGGGAGGCGAACATAGAGCATAAATTACGGCAGGTTGCAATTCAATGCGCAAAGCATTCGCACTCATGCATGATTCGGAGAAGCCGCACCTCCAAAAAAATGCGATATAGTCGGCCTATTCTAATATCATTAGTGGCTACTTTCATCGCCGAAATATGTACCATATATGTTATATGGAGACAATTTTACCATATTTAATTCAGCAATTTGACTTATACTTCATGTGTGGTTTAATTTTTACTGAATAAGTACAGAATAGTAAATTTCGGACGGAATAATTAAATAAGTTGTATAAGATAATTTTAGCTCCGCCACTTATACATGTTACCACAAAGGAAATAAGATAATTATTATATAGAGTATAAGACCATCAAATATTGAACATTTTTGGTACTAATGCTTATCAGAATTTGACGAGAATTTTACGTTATTCCTTACACAACAAACAAGTTGTATCAGGTTGCGTATGTTGACAAGTAGATGACTTGTAAACCAAAAATCTTACGTTCTTCAATATTTTTGGATCCTCAAAAATCCACATGTCGAATATAGACAATTCTCACATAACTTAGTTATTCGAAATACAAAGTAAAAATATTCCAATTTAACTTAATACAAAAAATTCATCTACATACGTAAAAAGTGATTGGACAATAAGTCAAGATGTATAAGAATTTTACACGTTGGATAAGCCTTTATATATATANCGCGATTTCGAAAGTTTATGAAATTTGTGGGTTCGGAAGGTTGTTGGTGAAAATTTATGACTTCATGTTTATTATATCTAATTTTTTTGTGAATATTCTTGAGAAGCCATTTTTCTTAATTTACGTACCAAACACCGAAAAATGAATAAAATTACTACTTGTTTTTTAAGGAAAACATTTTTCGTTATACCAAACACACCCTAAATGATTTTGACTTTGATAGCTCACTTTTACGTGTCTTTTCTGATTTTCAAAATGGTTAGGTACAAATGCAACTAGGCTATACTTTTAGAAAGAACTAAAAGTAGTGATCCGTGATAGGTAAGTAAATGTGAGGTTGTACGAAAATTAGTTATATATAGTCAAACCTATCTATAACAGGCTCGTTTGTTCCAAATATTTTTGGATATTATAGCGAAGTGTTGTTATAGAGAACATATATTATAACATAACATAAAAATTAATTCCGAAAAAACTTAACTTTTATAGTGAAGTGTTATTATAAAAGGATGCTATTATAAAGAGGTCTGATTGTATATGATAGGAGGGTGGGGTTGAACATTAGGGTAGAAGGTTCTCGTATTTTCTTATTCTTAAATTTTTATTACTAGCTATTATTTCTTTTGCTTCGATTATCGTATTACCTAGCTATTATTGTTTCTTAATTTTATAAGGTTTTATTTTCTTGTGTCGAGGGTCTATCGGAAATAGCATCTCTACTCCAGGATAAGGGTAAGGTATGCGTACACACTATCCTCCTCAGACCCCACTTATGCAACTTATGGGATTATACTAGGTTGTTGTTGTTGTTGTTGTTAATTTTATAAGGCTTCTCCACCACCATATTTCCATCGAACATTACTATGATTTTGCCTCCTTTGAGTCGAGAGTTTATTAGGAATAACCTCTCTACCTTCACAAAGTAGGGGTAAATCTGCATACACATTGTCCTCCCCAAACCCTATCTGTGAAACTACACCGGGGATGTTGTACGTTGGATAAGCATATTTAAATATGTATTGGTCATATCGTGGAGCCGGGGTGTGAACTTACCGACATCAAGTGTTAGTAATTGGATTTTAAATTTAATTCTTGTACATAAAAAAATGGATTTATTAGTACAAATAATTAAAAGTTTGGATTAAAAAACGGACATTACCTTCTAGCCATGCCCCAGTGTACTGCAAGTTGATCTATGCAAACGAGCTATTTTTAACAAATTTGACTATGACAGGCTACTTTTACGTGTTTTTCTGATTTTTCAGCATGATTAGGTATAAAAAATTCATATTAAACTACTACTATATATTAGAAAGGATTATTCCTGCGTGCATGTAAATGCCGCCTTTGAAAAGTGATGGTAATATTATTATATTTTTGAAAAACAAAAAAGCTAATAATTATATATACAATAGATAATTATGCACGGTCGAAAGTAATAGGATTTTTTTAAAATAGGTGAAATGGTTGAATTTTGCGATCGAGTTATCCAAACCTTTGCTTGATGTGATTCTAAAAGCTAAGTAAATGAGAATAAACACCGTCAAACCTTCTATAATAGCTTCGTTTGTTTCAAAAAAAAAATTGGATACTATAGTGAAGTGTTGTTATAGAGGATATATATTATAACATAATGTAATATTCAGTTCCGGAAAAACTAGGCTTTTATAGTGAATGACTATTATATAGGGATGTTGTTATAGAGAGTTGATATCAAACTCAAATTAATTTACAAATTAAACAATGATAATCCAGCTTGTTTGGATGGTGGTTACATATCGTTTCATAATGTATCGTATTGTACTGTATTGTTTAATGAATACAATATTTCGATAAATTGTGTTGCTTAATTTGCCATCGTTTCATGATATCACGCATCATCAATATGAAGAATAAACTTGCAATATTATAAAGAAAAATTATGGTACATGGTAAAATTACTATATAAAAAGGCAGGGTAAATGATAAAATAAAATTATTTAATAATAATTAATGAAGAGTGAGATTGAGAGAAAAGACAAGGTAATGACGCGACCACACCAAATCGATCGTTACATAAAGTGGCACATTTCGTCATTACGTAATGACGGATTTAACGATACAATACAATAAAATTTAAGTAACAATCAAAACAAACATCGTATTTAAAGTAACAATACGATACATTGACAATATAAAAATTATTTTGCAGTATCAAATAAAAATTATAATAAGTGAAATTAATTGCTTGAAAATTAGAAAAATAACCGGTTACAATAAATTAAATTGCACTGATAATATAATTAATGTAAATATCATTTGCATCTATTTGATCATTTCTTATCCACAGCCTTTTCATCCTTCTTTTCTTCCTTTTTTTCTTCCTTTTTCTCTTGGTTAGCTGGACCAACTGAAATTATGTCAATTTTCCCAACTTTCTTTAACTTTTTTGCAACTGCTATACTATCCATTTCACCCAAAATTATCATCTTTTGCTCCTTTATATCAGCTGCTATTGAATCAACTCCTATCACATTTAAAACTTAAAAACTATAACTAGCCATATATATGAGTTAAAATAAACAAAAAAAAGGGGGGGAAATTGATTGGAAAATTGCAACATATAAAGATTGTATTTGGTATAACAGAAGTCATTTTTATTGAAAATATTTTTCGATGTTTGGTTAGTGAGCAAAAATTTAACGAACATCATTTTTCATGGATGAGTTTTTCACGAAAAATTTCGAGGAAAATATATTCCGGTGGTTGATTGATGAGCGAAAAATATTTTCAGAAAGCATATATATATATATATATATATATATATATATATATATATAAATAAGATTACTAATAATATTAGCAAATCGGAGAGTGTTTTATGAATTTTCCTATTATAGAAGATTAATAATATAGTTGAATTAAATAACATGTATGATATTAAAAGTTAAGATAGTTGTAAGAAAAATGACTTTCGTACCAGAAGTGAGGGATGCCATTTTCTTCATTTAGATAGAAAATGTTTTCCAAGAAAACCTTTTCTAATAACAAAACACCAATGACTTTCTGATGAATTTTATTTATTTATTTATTTATTTTTGTGAAAAATGACTTCCATCGTACCAAATACATCGAAAATTATTCGAAAGCTTTCTTGAATACCATGTATATCAGCAACAGCCTCCATAGCTTTCTGCTTAGTTTTTTCGTCGCTCATTGTCATAATCTTTACCACCAACTTTTGCTATATAAGATTTCCAATATTTACATTAAAAAAAAAATTAAGCAATAGAATTTGTAAACTAAGAAAAAAAGGAAACAAACAACAAATAGAGTAATAACTTATAATAAGAATGCTTTATATAAAACCTGTCCCATTTGAAGTATCTTTGATTGATAGCGTGTTGGAATTAATAGGAACAAGTTGTGTGCGAGCCTTGAAAATGAAAAAACTCTTGATGTGGAGCGTTTTCTCCTTTAATAGTTCTACACGATAGGAATTCAGATTAGTCAGGATGATAGGATTCGTATAGAACGTAGGGAGGAACAAGAAAGCGTCGATTTAGCAAGTCGCCTAGTTTATTAAGAAAGATTTTCTATTCTATATGGTGCAATTCTCCTATAACTTGACCATATAACTCAAGTTTTGGAAGAAATGTTAAGTAGAGGGGTTGATTTGGGGAAGAAGCAGATGGATTAAGGCTTTTATAAAGTGTAAAAATTGATAATTATTATGCATGGCTTGATTAACTAAAAAATAAGTATGGCATTTTCCCTGACTTAATATTAATTTGACAATCTTCTCTAACTGATGAAAGCAACATAGTTCACTCCTGTCACGCTTTGTAGACATGAAAAGCCAACTAAACTCAGCAAAGAAATGTTATGATACAAATTAAGTACCTATCGAGTGACATAAATTAGAAAGTAGGTACAATGATACTATTTATACACCAGAAACTGGTAACAATAATGCTAGTTAAGTAACCAATAAAGGTTGTGGTGGAGTGATAAATATTCATTCATCCTTAATCAGAGGTCTCGAGTTCGAGCCCCGGTTATGGAATCACCTTTATTAGAGAACGTTTTATCCCCTTTGTGAGACTTTCCGGCGCGAATCTGAATTTAGTCGGGCCCCAAAGAAAAAATGTTGGTTAAGTAAACCCTCTATCCTTCTCCACCTAAATGTCAAGCTTTTATCGTAGAAATAACAGCAGGTAGCCATTATTAAGGGCTGTTATTTAGATATTAACCGGCGTGTCTTAAATTTCAGTTTTTCAATTTAATTTTTCAGGATAAAGTTAAAAATGGCTATATGTGTAGTTCCCTCCCTTTTGTCTGCAGTAAGATCGAATCCATGTAACCTGTGTCTAATCTACCAAAGCCGTTGAGGCGTTGAAACATTAACTAAATGATGATTACACTTTCATTTTGCTATGCCTTTCAATAAGGATGACTGAATACCAGAAAGGAAACAAGAACTGCAGAAACTCAATTTCATTTGTAATCAAACTGTATCTCATGTTTACTGAGATTATCCATAAAACACGCAAAAAAAAAAAAATGGTGCACATTAATCTTCACAGCTTTCAACCATAATTTAAAGGAGTAATATAGAAAACCCAGTTCTCTCATACAAAATTTTGAACTTATAAGAATGGCTATATCAAAAATTCAAACTTTAGCACGAGAATAATGATTGTCGTTAGGATTCCTCTTTCCACTGAAAACAGCTAGTGCTTTGCGAACAGGAGGCTGCAGAGGAGCCTTCTTACTAGTATGGTGGAGAAAAAGAGTGTCCGGAGTAAATATGTCATCCCCCTACAAAATAAATCAACTCAACTTCTCAGCAAACTTGAAAATGTGAACTTAAAATATTTATCATAGAGATTGAAAGAAAGAACAAAAAAGAGGGAAAGAGACATTTGCTGAAACCAACCTGGTTGTTCTTCTTTTTCGTCTTAGGATAAAGAAACTTCTGAGGAAGTTGGTCCTCGCGTAATACGGGGTTCTTGGTAACAGCATCTCTACCCCCTTGAGGTAAAGGCAGGGAAAACTGAAATTGAAAGCCATCAACAAAATTTTAAGATTCTCAGACATTTAGGTGAAGTATAAGTTTGAAAAGAGAGGATTCTAAGCAGTGGCTTCAGTGTCTATTCCGACTTTTATATACGATTGATAAGCATAGAACACATTTCAGTTCGCATGTGTGAGCAGTGTGCAACTAACACGAAATCACCCTCTATTATTTAGAGTAAAAAGCCTCATGACTATGCCTCACAAGCCACTCATCTTTGATTTTGGAATGCATTCTGTTGTAATTGGATTAAAAAAAAAGAGCCAGCTATTTACAGAAAAAAGTGACAAATGTGAGCTTAGCTAAGCATATACTCAAGTTACTGTTTTAATTAGGTGCCAGGATGTGATTTATAGAAGTATTAAAATTGGAGATGCTTAGAAAATGAGGTCTCATTTCTCACCTTCGTCCCTCGCAAGGATATACGTGGTCGACGCGCTGCAAGAACGATACCATTTTCTCCAACAGTCACTGCTACCTTGCGTAAAGTGCCCCCATTTCCACAATTGGGACAGAAAATCTTACCAACATCTGTTGTAACTTTATAGCAGGCATGGCATTTCAGCACCCACCTGAAAATAGAAAATGCTACTGTAAGCAAATCACATTCCTATACAACCAAATATTAGAGGACTCCAAGCATAAAGGAGAAGCGTATTGACTGGCTCAATAGAAGGACCGTTTCAATAGTCATCTTGCAGCGTTCATGATAACTCGACAACATGAAGAATAGACAATGGATATTACAGAGTAGTACAAAGCTGAAATACATTTTTTTTCTTTTATCTTATTTGGGGGATGGGGGGTGGGGATCACAGCATCTTGTACATACCTGTGCAGCTCACGGATCTGCATTCCTCCAGGTGCCACAAGGCGTAAGCCCATTTGAAGAATAACATTTTGCATTGCAAAATCACCTGTCACACAAGCCACGCTTGACTCGGACAAGGATTTTAACATCCAACTCTGTTCACTGCTGTCATCATCTACAAATGATGTTTCAATGCTCTCATCCATCTGGCTGGCCATCTCTGCATCTTCCGCTCCTCTATCAGCAGAGTCAAAATTCTCCCCTTCATCTTCTTCAGATTCTTTACTGTCTTGCTTAGCATCATTGGATTCAGACCCCTCAAGGGGAATGTTTACATCTGCATCAACTTGAAGATCTTTTGCAGAATCTTCTTCAAGCCGCATTTGACTCAAAATCGTAGACAGATTTTCTTCACCATCTCTTACTTCAGTAATCGCATTGCCCTCTCCATTCGCCTCATGATTTTCTTCTGGTATATGGGACATAGCCATATCATCGTATTGACAGTTGTCAAGGTTTTCATTTACTGCATTTTCAGCTGCATCTTTTATATCATCCATTTTAGATGATGTCTCAGACATTTCACGTCTAGCTTTTCGTCTGAGAAATCTCCTATGAGTACTTCGGCTGACAGCAGGTCGCCAATCATCACCATCCTCATCATATTGTCCCTGTGATGCATCAATTCCATCAGCAACCATTTTCTTACCTTCCATTTTTACCTCTTTTCTCTGCGGCAGGTACTTTCTAGGTTTCCCGAAGCCACCATCGGCATCCATCTGATCCTCAGAATGAGAATCACCGCCATTCAAGGTTGAACCATCTCTACTTTGTTGATCAAGAGGAATAACATTCAAGCTCAAATCTTTCAAGGGAAGAATTCTAGAGTTGGTGTTTGCTCCAGCATCCATTGCATGTTCTATTGCATCCCACTCTTCTTGATTAGGGACATTAGAGCCCCATCCAGGCAACTCCTTCTCTGGCAACCTTTTCACATTAACCATGTGAATAGGAGGAGGGCAATCCCGGAGATGATGAGTTCCATGAAATTGAGCCTCCAAAGTGTAAGTTAAAGCAATGAGCTTGAGATCCACATCGGAAAGTGTTTGCAAATCACCAGTAGCTCTTGCAAAGCTGATAACTGGAAAGACAGGTAACATAACATATTCAATAAGATATCCAAGATTAAAAATAACACTCTGAGCATAGTTCTCTAAAATTGGACATTCTCTAAAACTCACACATGTCCCTGAGCTGACATACGCTTCTGGGTTTCTCTAAAACTAGAGATTCTACAAATCACACACTTATCTATATTGATATACCAATCTCTAACTAGACTATAAACATTCTTGGGCCTCAGCTACCATCAAACGCTACCTCAACAACTTTTCTGATACAGTTAGACTCTAACCTCTGCAATTGGAATCAGACTTAGTGGCCATTAAGCAAACAAATTGAGAAGAAACAACAAAGATATATAAAAAACAAAAATACTTCACATATTTCACCACAGTTTTTCTTTCAACAAGTCGGTGTTTAAAAATAATACAATGTGACCTTACTTATCAGTAGAACCACACACACACACACGAGAGATGTGTATGACTTAATCGAGCCATCCACAACTGTCTATCAAGTTTGTTCAGCTATCAACAAAACATAGTATCTTCTACTTATACCCCCCTCCCCCACCTGCGCAAATTCACTTAAAGTGTGAGCTTGTTCATATTGCCAGTCCCAAGCCCAAATAAAAGAGCAGATTTTTGAGATAAATTGACAGCAAGAATAAAACTAGAAATTAATGATGAATCTTCACAATATCAAAATGGTTAGCAAGCATTGCGATGCCGACCTCAACTAACTTCGGATTGAGGAAAAATCGATATTATGCGAACTGATTAATTTCATGTAACTAAACCAAAGCAATATAAATAAAAGGTTAATAAAATCAACAAAACTACACATTTAACATAGCGCATAAATATACAAATACGTACAAAATTTAAAAAAATCAAACTTTTAAACCTTTCTTAAGAGAATCAGGAGAAGGTTCCATAGTATCAACAGTGAACGGAAGGAAATTAAGCGAGTGACGAGAATTAGGATCACGAATCTCGCTCAACACTTCAGGTACCGATACAAACCGGTCAGCTGAATGATTCAGCTTATCTCCCCCTTGAATTATTGCGTTTGCGTCTACTATTGCTACCGCTATCCCCTTCGTCGACTTGCAGCTCCCGACCAAAACTCCAGTACCTGCCGCCGTAGCCGGTGGTACGGCAGAGGTGAAGGTGACCGGAGCTTGCGGTTTCTGTGGTGGTGGGGGTTGTTTTAGTATGTTGCTCCAACATGGTGGAGGAGGAGGGGGCTGGGTATCCATTGCTGTGGAGCTCGTGCTTCAGAAAGGGAACGGAATCTAAAACCCTAAAAAAGGTAGTTATAAGAGAAGCATACAGCAGGAATAGAAAATGACGAAAATGGTTCCATATGTTTTGGGTAAATCTAAAATAGTCTCTAAAATGTATTCCTGAGAATTTTTGGTCCTTTAAATTTGGCAAAAATGAGTCTTTTTAGTCTCAGTAAATATTTAACGAATTTTGGTTATTAGATTTAGTGAAAGCTATGAAAAAATAAAATTTAGCCGAAACTCACATTTGGAGATGTAGCTTTTGCATTTTCTGCTGTTATTAATTTGTTCATAGTGTCTGTTATATTTTTGAGATGGTGTTTCTAATATTTGACGAGACTTTTCTATGTTTTTGATTAATAAATCTTTTGTTACAGTTACAGTTACAATTTCAGTTAAATTTACAACATAGTTTGTTAAATATTGATAGAATCTAAAATTACTCACTTTTAGCAAACTTAAAGGATCATTATATTCATGACTTTATAAACTGAATAATAATAAAACATTATATATATATATATACCACTAACACTTCGCTCAATTATGAATTCAAACATGAATCAAATACACACTTTATGCTAAGTGACAAGAGGGGTTGCTCAGTTAGTTAGCACCTCCCACCTACAACTCAAGAATTATGGGTTCAAGTCACCAAAGTATCAAATAGCTCCAACAAAAGGGATTTTAAAAAAAAGAACCTTATGCTAAATTCTCGGGAGAAATTCAAAAATAGCCAGATTTAGAGGTGGTCATTCAAAAATAGTCACAGTTTCAAAAGTAATCGAATTTTAGCCACTTTTCATGTAAAGATAAATCTAAACGAAAACACTGTTCAAAATCCGAAAAAATACTCAGCATAATATATTGGAGTTCCAGTATACTCAGCATAATATACTGGAACTATACTGGACCGGTCTCTGTTGTAGCAAAATAGTGGCTATTTTTCATTGACTTGATAAACGCTGGCTATTTTTATATGACCAGTCCGAAAACTGGCTAGACCGTGCTATTTTCACTAAGTTCTCTTCTGATGGTGGATGTAGCTCTTAGAAAATGGGCCTATCTAAATCCAATATTTTCGACGCAAAACAATGATATATATAAGTGATAACCCATTAAAATTTTAACAAAAATTAGACCTAAAATCATAATTTTAAAGGTACAATAATTTTCGTACTAAAAACTTTAAAAGTCAAACTATCAAATTTAAATTTTGAATTCACTTCTGTTTCTTCCATCGTTGCATGTTAGATAGCTCATTTTCCAGTAATTTCCAACTAACAACTATTGCTATTACTGCACACGTATGAGCTTGCTCACATTATCAGTCTTAAGCCCGGATAAAAACATAGTTGCGGTAGGCTGACAGCATAAAACTAATCAATTTATGATGAATCCGCACAATACATGAATATATGAAAGTTGGTTCCTATGAGGGAAGAGATTGAATATGGAATTTCTTATTTCTCGAGCGAATTCCAAAGAACACCAAGATCAACATTGCCTCCAGAAATTACAATGCCAATATGATTGCATTCACTATAGGCTGGATTTTGTTGGAAACCATCAGAAAGAACAGCTGCAAGGCCAATAGCTCCACTTGGTTCCACTGCAATCTTTAGAATCTCATAGCAAAGTCTCATAGCTTGTATTATCTCTTTATCATCAACAACTATAACGTCATCCACGAGATCGCGAACAATAGGCCTGTAATTTGATGTTAAAGGTAAATGCCAGAGATCATTTAAACAACAACAAACCCAGTGGAATCCCACAAGTGGGTCTGGGGAAGGTAATGTGTACGCAAACCTTACCCCTATCCTGCGGAGGTAGAGAGGTTGTTTCGGATGCTAGAGATCATTTGATAAACATTATATCAAATGAATAAAGCCTTATGGCGCTTGGTCGACACTAAAAGGGGCAAATGGAGAAAGAGGCTTCTTTAATGCAAGGGTAAATACACCAAAAGTGAACCAAGAAAATAGCATGATCTCTAAAATATTGATTTATCCCGATGTTTCCACCAACAAAACTTTGACTTTGACCATGAAAAGCGCCAAATTGACACACACTAGTTTAGAGTAGAAGGAGCTCTAAGAATTTACCATGTTAGATCTCCAAGAAAAGCTCGAAGCCCATCAGCGATAGTGTTGACTTCAGATAACTTAGTAATCCTACCGTTGATCTTTGACTGGAAAGCATCATCGGCTCCCATTGGTTCAGCAGCCAAAATGCGAATGGCAGGATTGATGGCCTTGGCAGCCAAGGCAACTCCTGATATTAGACCACCACCTTCATTCGAAACCAGAAAATGTGGATGACATACAAATTAAAATTTACATGCAAACGATATATCAAGTCTTTAAAAAGTTGGTTTACCACTAATCGGAACTATTAAAGTGTCAATCTCTGAAGCCTGTTCCAGAAACTCCAGTGATATTGTACCCTGCCCACTGTAAAAACACGAAACATATAAATGGAGATCTATATTAGTAGAGATCGTTCCATCTAGTTTCCTTGCAAACAGTTGATTTTTTTGGGCAAGTATACTTTGGAAGATCAAAAACTATTCACTACACTTCAAATAGAAGTTCAAGGTTCGACTTGGAATTGTTCGTAATAAAATTGCTGTAAATGTCTATTCTTTAATATAAGAATAAAGGGTGACACTCATATTAGTTTTATACCTTTTAGATGCTGAGACGGAAAAAAAGAAACATAATGGTTACAAAGTGCATTCTTTACTTATAAAATACTACAAGAAAAAGAAAATCATTTTGATATGAGTTTTAGAGGTTAGAATTAAGTATTGACGCACCATTCCCTGTAGCAGCTGGTTGAGCAATTTTTTCTCTCAAGCTGAGACATTTAATCTCTTATTCTCTTATTTTTTAGATGTCGTTTGCTGAATTTCTTTGATACACTTCAGTTTTCCCACCCAATACTGAATATAATAATCAAAACCACTTCATCTAAGAATCTTACATTCTTGTGTTGAAGGTTAACTGAAAGACTGACAAACCAAGTTCTAAGTTGCTCGGACATGGGTGTGGGTGTCTGACACGGGTGTGGATTTAGAGGTCGGATCCTTCGAGAAGTAAATTCTAAGATTCGAAGATACGAATCCAAGTACAGATACGGGTGCAGGGATCGGGCTAAAAATAATTCAAAAAAATTAAAATATAAAAATATCTCTAAATTATGAAAAAAATTTGTGGAATACTTACGTATAGCTTATAAAGTGTGGATTTTTTTTTATTCTCAAGTTGTAGATAAGTAAAGGATTGATTTCCTAGATAAGATATGTTATTTTCTTCAAATCTACCCTAGTTTTGGTTCTGATTTCGTGAATCAAATTTTATCTCATCTCGAATTTTTCCGTCCGTCGTGGTCAAAGTACCCAAAATCGATTGACCAGATCCGGTACGGATCCCATACTCACACTCACACTAGTGTCGTGTTGACACGGGTGCGGCACCTAACTGCCATGTCGGAGCAACTTAGACAAGATGCATGTTGCTTCAGTATTGATATGGGTTCAAGAGTTCGAAAACAAATAACCGCAAAATAATCTTATGTTTCTTTTTCTTGGTGGAGGGGACCGGAAGGAATCCAGAACTGCATGTACATACCTACCAATAGTAATCACCACTTAGCTGGATTCATCTCACAGAAAAGGGAACTTTGAAGCCATTTATTCACTCACTATTCCAACAGAAGGTACCAGACATTTGCAACTAAGGACATCTAGAAGGATGCGGAGACAAAAGCAAGAAATCTTTGATGCGTAAGAGCAAAAGTGTTTTGAAGAAAAGATTTGCTAGACCATTTGTCTCTGTTAATGCTTTGCCTATACGCAATGATAAGGCTTGGCAGTAAGAATTTTAAACAAGACGACAGACTGGAACAAAATACCATCTATTAATAAATGATAAAGAAAAAAATGTTACCTTATGATGCGACCGTCGTTGTAGGGATGAATAAGAACAGCGCCAGTGTCTTGCAACACCTTGTTTGCAGTATTCTCTCGGGACTCCATTGATGGCTCACTCCAGATAACCTGACCACCGTAACGTTTGACATTTTCAACTTTGCATTTCGGAGCATTTTTTGGTATAACTATATATGCAGGGATACCACGTAGTTTTGCAGCCAAAGCAAGAGCTGCAGCATGATTTCCACTAAATTCGACAGGAAGCAAATCAGTTTATATCCAGAAAAACAAACAAAGATAGTAAACCACAGAAACCAGAAAGCTCTGAGTGAACCTGCTATGAGTTACTACTCCTTTTTCGGCCTGATTATCAGCAAGTGAATAAATAGCATTACAGGCCCCTCGGAATTTAAAAGCCCCCCTGACAAATTGCATGAATGCCCTTAAATTAGCACTTTTTGAAGTCAAACTAGCAGAAATTTTAGTTCACTAATAACACACATCACAGAGAAGCTACGAAAACAAACATCCTTCTATTCTATATCATTAAAGAGCTTCTCACCCCTTCTGAAAGCATTCACATTTAAAGTAGAGCTTTCTTCCAGCAATAGAATTTAAAGTTTCTGAGGTGAGGACAGGAGTTTTGTGCACAAAGGGCTCAATGCGTACTTGAGCTTGCCTGATGGAAGAGATATCAGCAGCATAATCCTCACAAGATGTTGGGCTATTTGATTCCATCAACAAGTTCTATGGAAGTCAACACTCACGAAGCTGAAAACATGTGGAATTTCTCAAGTCAATCCAGGGAAGATTAAAGAAAAGAAATGACTAACGAGGTGGGAATCTCTCAAGCCTCAAGTCTATCCTGAAGATCTAAGACTAGAAATATATAATCAGTTGACCCTAAGAAGATAACATAAGAATAGTATCATGCATTCCTTAGAAGATGGCGTAGATACATGGTATCATAATGTGTGTATTTTCTCTTGAAAGCCATATTTTGCATGTCTTTTTATGTTTTCCTAAAGGAGTTAAACTACAATAAAATCCAAAGGTATTGCATAAATGCATATTCTTTTTACTCAAGGATCTCAAAGTTAGTTTTGACCCAAAATACAATGATGTACACAAGGGGTTGTTACAGTCAAAGTATATAGTGAATAAAGTATGTCGAGTACAGAGGTAGACCCAAGATTTTTACGCGACGGGGCCACATATTCTGTTCAACTAGTGTCCCCTAAAGGATTTTAGTGTTCAGGGTACCAAGTGTTTTAAATTAACCATTTTCAAGATATATACATATATGTAATACAAGATTTTTGCCGAAGCTTATGGGGTCCGGTGACCCTCACTTTAACACATAGGTCCGCCTCTGGTCGAATACCCTAAAGGACTTCCATCCAATATGCTTCCAATATAAAAGACTGTATCTTATCACATAACAAGTTTCGTGAACTCGGCATTCAGATCCCAAAGGACTTCAATGAACAGCATTCAGATCTATCAGTCTTTTAGAACATGTTCTTCAATGAAGATCATCCAATGGCAGACCTGCGTTACGGTCAATGGAGATGAATGATCTTCAGCTCAGACTATATATAACGGATCAATAAACCAACTAGGCCTCAACTCCCAACTAGTTCGGATCACCTATATGACTCATATTTATCCGTTCCGCTTTATTAGGACCCATTTCATCCTTATACTGGTAAATCCTTTGTCTTTTAAGGCAGTAGGCACAAGACTGTAGGCACAAGACCACTCTACCTATGCCGAGGGTGGTTAATTTAACAACCTTCGCTGAAAAATTATGCTACGTATAACAAAAGAGCAGCCCGGTGCACTCCGGGGAAGGGCCGGATCATGAGGGTCTATTGTACGCAGTTTTACCCTACATTTCTGCAAGAGTAGTTTACCAGTTATGCCAATGCTCCCGTCAAATTATACAACGTATGAAGGTCAAAAATTACTATTCACACACATATTTATTAAATCTTGAACACCCTTAACAAGACTTCTGACTTCGCCCCGACTCACTCAAAATTCCAAACCTACCTATGAAATTACCACATTTTCCAGTACCAACAAACAAGATACAGATACAACTAACCCACTAAGCCAAACAAGCTTATTTAAATAAGCTATTGTCTTCTTTATCAAACAAACGACAATAAAAAAGGATAACTTTACAGATATAAACAACAAAACCAAGAACTAAACCGAAACTGTAAAATATCACCAATAATCAGGCAAGACATAATTAAAGTGAGTTTCCCTTTAAAGTCAGCTGAAACAATTCAAGAAACCACTTGGGGTCCATGAAAACAGACTTTATTTCAGATAACTATTACACCCAATACAGCAAATTTAACAAAATTAATTGCAATAAAGTACCACTATTAATAGATAAGTAGATGCTGAAAATAGAAAGAATAATAACAGGGAAAGAAATAACCTTTATAGGTGGCAAGAACTTAAGAGTCACTGAAGCAGAGAGATACTCAGCAGCCAAAAAGATGAGAAAATACAAAAATGGTCTCTAATCATTTGAGAAATGTAACTTATAAAAAAAAAAAAAAGTCGCATTTCTGAAATACAACTTATAAATTGCAATTTAAATTACCCAATTTTATGCCATTTGCAAAATAACTATTCGTAAATAGTGTAATAAATTGTTAATTATCATGTCGGAAATGCACAAATCCTTTTGTGCTTTATGTTATTGGATAATTCACAAAATTATGTAATAACAATGATCAATTCTCAACTTTCCTACTTGAGATATTTCTGTCTTTGTTATATTTAATAGGCGTTTGGACGTAAGGACTAAGGATTGTAAAATTTTGAATTTTTATATTAAAAATTTCGAAATTCAACTTCAAGAGAAATTTAAAATATTTAGGCTTTTTATTTACCGGAACAACCTTCTCTTTTTTTGATATACACTTGGTGCAAGATTGAACAATAATTTGTTTTATCTTCACTTAAGAATTTATATTATCTACAATTTCATGAGATAGGAATAGATTTTTATAACTCAAAATACTAGATTGTGTTGGGAATAAACCCCTTACCAAAATAATATTCACGGTAATAAAGCGGAATAATAATGTAGCACCGAGATACGGTAATTAACAAGAATAAAAGAGTAACAATGACACCAAAATTTTTACGTGGAAAACCCTTCTGAATAAGGGAAAAAACCACGACCCCGAGAGGAGCAACTGATATCACTATAGTAAGGAATTTTACAACTTTGTAGGTCGGAGGTAAATACTCCAAAGACCACTACAACACTCAAAAGAAATAACCCTCTTTTGATATTCCCACCTCACTACAATATCGCTCTCTCTCTATTTTCCTCACAGACTATTTTCTTATACCTTGTCTGTGAAACCTTACTCTTTCTTTCTCTCTTTGTTGGTGTGTAGAAATGAGAGTTGAAGCTCTCCTTTTATAGCCAAAGCTTCACCCTCTAAAGCCTACAATATTTGACAATTTACACACACTTTTCACAATTCAACAAAGTTGGCTACCAAACCAAAGAAATTCAACAAGGTTGGCTACCAAACCAAACTAATTCAACAAGGTTGGCTACCAACCAAACCAAGTCAACAAGGTTGGCTACCAAACCAAAGAAAACTCTTATTAGGCACATGCCTAATACTTCTTCAATGAGATGGACATCATCAGATTGGTGTGTCCAGAGTATTGATCATATATTTCGATTTGTGATTCTAGTTTGACAAGACAAGAAAGATATATTTTAGCCGCAAATTAAAAAAAAAAATCATCAAAATAATTCGTAAAACTCGCACCTAAGAAATAACTTCTTTAAAACAATAGTGTCTGAACCAACTTGCATTCAGTACTAATCGACAAGCTAGTTGGAAAAATCAAATCAGCAAAGCTTAATAGCTAGAGAGTTTGGATCCATTTGCTTCATCATGTTAGTTTGTAATTAGTATTTGAATAGGCAATTATTTGGGGGGGGGGGG